TGAAGACCAACTAGCAGACTTATTTACAAAAGGGCTAAACCACTCCAGACATCAAGGTCTCTGTGACAAGTTGGGCATGATTGATATCTATGCTCCAACTTGAGGGGGAGTGTTAACAGGTGTATTATATGTACTGTACACAGTCTTAGTACCCGCAGGGGTATTTTCGTAATTATGTAGTCACATTGGTATGTATGGCCAGAACAGTATAAATAGAAAGCTTCACTCGACTGAAGCTATGTTTTTTGATTGAGGCCTTAACTCAGCTGCCTCTTATTCTTCTTCTTCTTCTTTCTTTTCTTCTTCTTCTTGGTCACCTGCTCAACAATGTCCATGAAATGTGAATCTAAGAATCTATAATTTTCTTCTTTAATATGATAACCAAGTTATTTCAATAAATTGGCTCTTTAAGGTAATTTTGATTTTGTTTGATATGCTTTTTTCTAGCTATATGATGCTCTCTTTCTTTGTCAGTTTTCTAGATGTAGATGTCGAAGGACAAGCTGCAAAACCTTATGCTGCCATTTTTTTGTAGGTGTTCCATATAGTGAGCACTCCAGCTTTTTGGAACTCAAAGAATTTGTGCAGGTCTGGTGCTAACCTTTATTTTCCAATCATTTATGACTTAATGGCTCTGATTTTATTGGTAGTCTGCACAATGCATGAACATCAGTGCTGCTGCTTATGGCTTCCATTTACTAATATCTCCATTGTCAATTTCTTAGTTCTTGAGACCTGACAATATAATCCCCACAGTCAATGTTAGCAATGCTGCTCACCGAGATAAGATGCAATCCTATTTCCAGGAATGGCTGAAAGTTAGTCCTCAATGGAAAGTTTCTCCAACATCTACCAGGCCAAGAGTCAACTAAACCGGATGAATTCAACCTTGAATCACTCACGATATTTTGCTCCTATTTTCAAGCAAATGATTGATAATGCACTCCAACCTTGTTGATTCTTTGTTTATAATTTCTTATATGAGCTGATTTGCATTATATTTGGAGTTGAAGATATTATCCAATTGCTGAGGAAAACCAGCAAAAAGATCAGATCAAATAAGATGCTTGATAAGTGGGTTAATTGCAGGCTTTAACTCGATAGTCTGCATCAAGGAGTACAAGCGGTTTCTATTGTTTATAAAATAGATTATTGCATTGTTCTGTTGTAAAATGTTCTTTTAGTACTCGGATGTAAGAAAGCACAGTTCAAATGGAATCCAGGATAGGTGTGCAAGATATCTACTGTCTCAATTACCAATACGAAATTTGAGCATGTGGATGATCTATGGTTCAGAAACATTTGGTTTTCCATTTTTCTTTCCAAAAGCAGAGAGGCATCGTGGGTTGGAAATCTCTAAAGATGAGTTGGTGGGCTCTACCCAATTCACCAACTCTTTAGGTCTGGACTTCATCCAGTTCAAATTAGTCCAAACCACCACGCCAAGCCATGGTAATTAAACCAGTCAATGCATGGGCCGTACCAAATTCAGTTTGAGTTGGAAGTTTCTGCTAGTCCTTAGCTTTAGTATAAGACATCGTAGTGCAGGCTCAAAGGTGTGCAACGTTGTTGAAAAATGAAACCCCTTTGTCCGATATGCTTGGCCATGCTTGAGAAAAAAAGCTTTATCCTATGGAGTGTAGTATATTGTTTTGTTTTTTCGATGAGGGATTATTAGAGAAGGCTTGGGTTCCCTACTTCCCTTGGTTTTGATGTTTTTAGTCCATCCAGTTGGTTTTCTGGTCATGTAATTATTGACTCTAATTCTTTTAATAGTGAAGAAGCAAAAGTGCGGTGCTTCTATGTGACAGGATTTGCTGTTTGCTGCCCTCCTGAACTTCCACGTTTGTTAGTATTCATGGAGCCAAGGGTGTGATCATGGCCTGGCCGGACTATAAGAACGATCACCCCTACATGGAGCCGTGGAAGAACGAAAGTATTAAGGCCCTGTTTGGTTTCCAGGAATAGGGGTCTGGAATTGGGACCGGAATGGGCTATTCTGATTCCAATTGTTTGGTTGGGCAGAATTGGAATCCCATTCCCATTTCTGCTGGAATTGCATTTTCCCATTTGAGGGAATGGTCATTCCCTGCCCCTCCCTTGAGAATGAAATCCCATTCTTGTTGATTCCAATTCTCATTTTCATTCATTTTTGAACCAAACAAGCTATAGGAATAGGCCATTCCAATTCCAGCTGCGAACCGAACGAACCTAGGAGGAATTATGGACAATTGGTGGGCGTCCATAA